TAAATTATTTATTAGTTTGAGGATCAACATGACATTTTCAATCATATTACTGTGTATACCAAAGTATTATTTATTATTAAAAAACTATTGTGTAATCAATGGCGGCTCGTGGTAATTTAAAATGGGTGTTCACTTTTTCCAATAATTTTATCATATGTAAGTTCAGATCAAAACTTTGTACAAGAGTCAATATCGCTGTTTTTTTTTTATTATTTGAGTTTGTATTAAGTGTGGTTATTATTATCAACATCATACTGTTTTCAAGTACTACAACTATTAATAAATGAATATTTTAGTTAGTGTGATATTGGTTTTGTTTTTAATATGTTGAAAACCATCTATAAACATTATTAGTTAGTAAACTGACTTTTATTCATAATTTGAGATTATTTTTAAATATATATCAGGTTATGTATGAATCTTGACATTGGTTTTTGTGTAAAAAATTTTATATGAAACTTTACCTACCATTTTTTACTTTTTATTGTAAGTTTAATCATTTTCACAATTTGTCACAGATGTCAAATAAAACATATATTTTTTAAATACCTTTTATTGGCAAATAAAATAAGAACTAAAATGTTTTAAATGTTTATTTTATAAGATCAGTCCCATCACAACACATAATATTACACAGACACAAACTAGAATAAAGATATATAATGTCTGGAATTTTAAATGATACTCTTCGCAGTTTAACAGACCCCCTTAACCCCCCATTTTTAAGCAGATTGTTTTCACAATTAATAATCCTTATCTCTTTATAGACCTTGATTTTTACTAAAAATTTTATGTTGAAATCGCTTTTCGTTTTTAATTTAGGATTTTCTTTTTGAATTTCAACCCATCTTAACCCTCTATTTTCAATCAAATTTGTTAAAAATCAATAGGCTTTGTCCCCTTATAGAGCTTGATTTTTGCTTAAAATTTTCAAGTTCATATCATTTCTCGTTTTTGACTTATCGATCAGACAAAAAACGTGACATCGGACAGACAGACAAAGTAAACCTATAATACTCTTCACATGAAGAGTAGAAAAAAAATGAATAGGGTAAAATAAACAATTTAAAAAGGTCAGCAATAATATTCAACTTCTTTTATCAAAGTATACTAAAAGTTTGAAATAGCAGCACACATTTACATAAATCTGTGAACTAAACTAGTGAGATACACATCGTAAAATGTTATCATATTTAATTCTCCACATGACCCTTTCTAAGTGTATTTCATAGCACATTCCAAAGTATTCTTGCTCTCAATCTGTCCTATACCCTTATGTCAGACTTTTGCATGTCCATGTTCACTAAAAAATAGTGTGTTTTAATAAATAACAGAATAATAGTATTTTGTATAAATAGGTAAATCAGCTTCATCTGTATTTTAAAATTATTGTTTAATTGTAGATAGTATATTAATGTTTTGATATGTACTTATAGGATTAATTAGCCAGATAATGTAGATATGTTGGATGTGACTTGTTAAGTGCCTAATTAAAATCACAATTTATGTTCTATACTTATTGCTTTTTTCGAGACATACTTTATTACCAACTGTAAACTAACTTACCAACAGCCTTATTTTTATTTAATACCTGCAGTGATCCAAATTACCATAACATCTAATATTTTTGAAAATACTAAATTATACAAACAAGGCAATAAAAAGCAATAAAAAAATGTCATTAAAATAAAAAATTTCTGGTTTGTATGCAACAAACAATCTAGGTTAAAGGGCAACACGATTACAGGCAAACATAACTTTATATAAGTAAACTATTTAAATGTACACACCATTTCTTAGGTAAAAATTCTCATCGAGTATATTAAATTAACTGGTTAATCCTTTTTTTGGGAACAATCGTTAAATTGGCACACATACTTTCAATTTATTGAAGATACAGTTCTTAACTAAACACATTTTTTTAACTAAGCACAATTAAAATAATCTAATATTTTTATTTAAACTATTTAATAGAAGAGGAATGACACTAGTGACAGTGACAGTTTGTTTGATTTGGTACAGTGTTGCAAGGATATGTTTTTGTTATGGACCAGATTTGTCAAAAAATATACCAGATTCCTTAAATGTATCAGATTTTTCGAATTCTATTTGCAGTGACATCTAATTCATTGAAAGGGAAAAAAGGGGGTCTTTATTGATTACGAACCCAAACAAGGAACACAATATATATAGTTTACACGTGAACATTGATGCACGCAGAAAGTACTACATCTAGTACAATTGTGAATTGTACTAGACTGGCAACACTAGTTTGGCAACCTTGTTTGTGAGCGGCGCGCCAATTAATGTGTTCTTTGACAGTTTGAAGGATCTGTTGGCGTGTTGTCTTCTCTTTTTAGCTATATGTATTTGGCATATCGTCTCACTCGTGTTAGGCTCACTCATCATAATGCGCCACAGACTCTGTATACTTAGGTATACTGTGACATAGAGAAGTGATCAGCCAGGGGACAATGATGTACAAAAAATATAGATTAACACGTATGAAAATAAAAATATTAAAATTAAATTTATATTTTTATGTTATTTATGTAATATTAAACTAATGTGTTTTTATGAAATTTAACACTGCAAAAATGAACCAATGGAGAAACCGCCACTGTGTGTAATATCAGATAAGAATTTTCTTCTTTTGGACCACTTTCTCCATGAAAATGTAGTAAAAAAATATAAGTATCTTTAGTAAAATCATCAATCGATCAAAAACTTTTGCGCATTTTGAACCTGTTTTAATATGTATTTTAACTGATAATTTGATAATTTATTTCCGATATTTTTAGCCAAAGCCCTGGAAAATTTATAAAATAATATGTATTGCCTTTGAATGAATTATACCGTGTGTTTCTACATACTCTATGACAACACCGTTTCGTTTTCTTTTCCGTACAGATAAGATAATTATAACTAACAGCAAAACTTTATTTTTCAATTAAGACACTTATTATTACGTTACATTTTCTTAATTTTTTTGTATGAATATACCTACTTAAATTAGTATTTATCGATAATAATTTTTTTCACGTGGGCATTTTAACATGCTTGTTTATAAAAAACAGTAAGAAAAAGATCACTAATATTGACGCATGCGCACAAAAATAAAATGTTATGAAAAGACCTATAGCAGTCTATATAAGGAAGATAGTCAAATATTTTTATAAAACATCAGATAAAATAGCCCAGGACAATTTTATATTGAAGCACTGCAGTGTTTCTGATCCAAAAAGACCAAGAAAACGAAGACAAGAAAAGAATAAGCTGAAAACTATATCAGTGAAGTACCATGTTAAAAGAAGAGATGGGTTAATGGCAAAGTTTTATGGATATTTTGGAAGTGAAAAAAAAAAGAATCTTAAATATAGTGAAACGTTATAAGCAAAGCAATGAAATGCCCAAAGAATGACGTGAAGGAAATCGAACAAAAGATAAAAATGACAAGAAGCGAGCAGCCATAAAAAACTTGTTAAATCATTAAGGTGTATGAGTACACTGCCGATCTAAGACATTCAATAGATTTTACTTACCGGCGGAATTAAGTATAAGACAACTTTGGAGAATGTTTAACAATGTCGTTGACAAGGACCTCCAGGTCAAAGAGTCGTTTTTCAGATTTCGTTACACGAAAATATAATGTCGCTTCTGGTACTCCTAAAACTGCCTGCAATTTTAAGATCAAATAAAGAAGACGTTAGAAAATAGCACAAAAAATTGATTAATTGCTCAACAGAGAGCTCACAAAATTCTGGCGAATTGCTTCTATGAGCTTCTAAAAGAAGTCCATAATGATCATGAGGTAGTTACATTTAGCTTTGATTGCCAAAAAACTTGGCTATGCCAAAAATCGCAGATCAAGCTGCCTATTTTAGTATGCAGCTGAATTTCTGTCACTTTGCAATTGTGCAGGGGACTTTTAAAGAAAAGATTATTTCAACTTCAGTTAAGTCATATGTATGGACTGAACTAGATCACCAAAGGGGGTCCAACGAAATAGCATCAGCTGTTCACCATACACTCACAACATTTCAGTTTAGTGATTGCACAAAAGTTGTTCGCCTTTTTTGTGATGGCTGCGGTGCACAAAATATAAACTCCATTGTCAGTAGGATGTTATCCAATTGGTTTTTGAATTTCAGTGCACCCAGCATAAAAAGAATTGAAATAGTTTTTCCGGTTGTAGGTCATTCCTACATCCCTCCAGATAGACTTTTTGGACAAATTGAGAAAGTTATAAAAAAAACCCAGAACAATACATCAAAATAATAGAGAAATGGGGAAGTGTCTACAGGTTGCGAGTTGATGTTCCAGGACAGGACTGGAAGTTGAAAGTCTAGATAGTTATGAAACCACTAGCGCAGTGGCATTTTAAATTGCAAATGTCCAAACGCATTATAATTTCCAAAACTAAAACCGGTTATGCAGTAAGAGGGGAAAGGTTTTATAGTAATGACATGGGTACAAACCAATCGCTGCTGGGAAGAGGAAGAAAGTTGCAAATTAAATCAAGCACTGTAGATATTTGAATGCCGTTAAAACCAGATAAAAAGAAAAGTTTCAGTAATTTGATTAAAAAATATTTCAAGAATATCTTCGATGAGCTTTCTGCCTTCCATATCAAACTCAGAAAATGGCACCGAGGCTAGTACAGAGTTGTTTTGTTTAGAAGAAACTTTAGATTTTGATATTTAAAATTTTTGAATTTTGTAATTCTAGTTGGTTTAAATACGAATAATAAAGAATTACTAAAATTGTTTGTGTTATATTAAATAATTAATTAATATATTTAAAATAATTTAAGATTATGTGCATCATGTTAATACAAATTAAAGAAAATTTCTCATCATTTATAAAGTAGTCTGTCCCGTACTACCATTTGATCAAGTACTCTTCTATCTGACATCTAACAAGCTTGATTCTGAATCTTTTGACATCTTATGACTGCCTTGTTATACATTTAATCATTCCTTTTTTTTGTTTTATTTCAGCTGTACTATTAATGATAACTGGCGGTACAACTTTAGTATGGCAGTCCCCAGCAATAATTAAATTCAAATCGAACGATACAGATGTTAACCCACTGGGTAAGCCAATTGAAACCATTGAAATATCCATACTAGCAGGAGTTCCGATGATGATGTCACTCATTGGAGGATTAGTACTACCAAAACTAGGAGACCTGATTGGAAGAAAAAAAGCACTGCAATGTTTAGGACTAGCTATGCTGCTATGTTTAACAGGAACAGCTTTCAGCAATAGATTTTATTTATTTGTTATTTTAATTAGTTGTTCATGCATCATTTACAACGGTATTTGGGGATTGCTTCCAATTTATTTGATAGAAATTTCAGAGGATCATAACAGGGCTAAATTTGGTTGTCTTTTGGCTGTATGTATGCCTCTAGGGCAGCTCTATTGTTATGTTGTCGGTTCGGTCTTTAGCATAAGATATTTCACTCTACTGAATGCGTTACCGTTAATTCCTTTTTTATTACTCTTTCTTTTTGCTCCAGAAAGTCCCGTTTACTCCTTGTTAATAGGAAAACAAGATGAATGTATGGAAACTTTAAAGAAGTTAAGAAGCAACAAAAGTAAAACGGAAATTCAAGATGATTTTGACAAAATAAAAATTGCTTTAGAAGAACAATCCAAAAATACAAATTTTTCTTTGATTACCATTTTCAACACGAAAGCAGGTAGATTAGGTTATTTTTTAGGCGCATTACCAATGATTGTACAATTTTTCTCGGGAGTCCCGACCGTTATGTCACTAATGGCTCCTACTTTCAACGAAATTGGGATCATATCTGGAAATACCATTGCTATAGTTGTGGGAGCAGTTAAAGTATTTATTTATTTATTTACATCGTTAGTTATTGAAAGAACTGGTAGAAGACCTTTACTTCTTATATCATCAATAGGAGCTGGACTAGCAGTATCCCTAGTAGGAATTTATTTTTACGTAAAAGAAATTAATTCGACTGCCCTTGATCAACTTCAATTTCTGCCGGTGTTGGCCATTATAGCTTACGTTGTTTTATATTCTATAGGACTTGGACCTATTCCTGTAGCTGTGATGAGTGAAATGTTTCCTGCCGATCTTAGGCCAATAGGTAATGGTTGCATAACGACTAGTGGTGGAATTATTCTTTCGGTAGTCACCTTCTCCTTTCCTCTTCTAGTCGAACATATTGGAACACATTGGTGCATGTTTATTTTTGCTCTCAATTGTTTCTTGGGTGCGCTGGTAATTTATTTTATTATGCCGGAAACTAAAGGGAAGAGTGTCGTAGAGATACAGAAAATATTGAAGGAATTTTAAAATAGTCTTTTATGAGAATTGTGGAAAAGTACGAGTATTATGTGTTCACACCATTATTCAGTTATTTGCCCAAAAAGGTTGTTAACCCTACAATTCTAGATATATTATTAGGATTATTGTAAATCCAATTCACAGATATAGATAGGTAATGGGAGTCGTTTAATAACAGCTTTTTTTATTTTTTATATTTAACATCCTTCGGACCTCCCGTGCCATCACCCTAATCCTTGTGTAGCCTGGCAGCACTGCATCTAGCAGCTTATTGTACCACCATTCGAAGGTCCTACTACTTTCCCATTCATCAATTTACTCCCTCATTTACCGTCATTCATTCACATCGTCGATGGTTAAACGGTAGTTGGCTAAGTCCCATGGTGCCACGGCCCATGGTGGAACCTCCCAGCGGTCACCCATACACAACGTGACAAAAAAGATCACTGCTTAACTATTGCGAGAATGTGGATGCACACCAAACTCGTGGCTAGACTCTACGGCTAACAAAAGCTTTCTTTGATGCTAATGTATTATGTTTTCAAACGTTCGACAATTCTCCAATGGTGTACCTAATAGTTTTTTCATTAGAATTCAAAGGATTGTTTTTAAAGTATTTTATAAATGACAAATTTAAAAGAAAATGCATTTTTAACATATTTTTTCAACAAAATATAAATTTCGCTGGTTTTATTCGAATGTAATAAACGATATTAATAAAAAAAATTTGAGTTTCAAATGATAATGATAATAATAATAATAATAGAATTTTTATTCATCATTTAATTAATAACAGATGGAACACAATTTTACAATGTTACGCATAGTTAAGCTTCTAGGAATGACAAAGCATGAAAATAAATCTGTTCTTCCAGTCAATCTTAAATGAAACTAAGAATAATTTATAAAAATAAGATCTTACCTAATTTTTATACAATTAATAGTCAGTTATGAAATGAATTACGAAACAACTTATTTTGTGTAACGGAACGAACAGAGCGAGGTCACGCAAAATGAACGAGATATTTCAAATATTTTTTAAAATAAAATACCGATATTACTTTCGTTGCATTGTTGGTTGCATAATTTTCATTCTCTCTGACATATTCAGAAAGAAAATCATAATTATTCTCAACCATTATTTATTATTTAGGTACCTACGTCCTAGTGTTTAAGATAGTTGGTAATTTTGTCATATATAGATGGAAACAGTGTTTTGTTTATTTTATGCAGATTTAGGATGGAAAATAGAGACTGAAACATAATTATTAATAATTGATGTAATTTATAAAATATTATATTGATTTTAAAACCAAAATAGATTTGTTTTCTTTTCAGAACTGGTGACATGATGAATTTTTCGTAACATAATATTCAACTTTTTGTTACCAGTTACATAAAGTAGATCATTTTAATACTTGCCGTGATTGCAAAAAATGTCTGTTTATATGTCAAAATTTGAAAAAAGTAGTGCGCAAAGCGATTGTTTTCCCACGAGCGCAGAAGTTTGTGGCACGAACCGTCAGGCGAGTGCCACAAATCAAGCAAGTGAGAAAAGTGCTTTGCGCACATGTTGCACATTATGTTTTTTCTACGACCACGGTTTTAAGGGAATCCAAAATGTATGTAAAATATGATATATTTAGGCAAATATATTTTTTATATAGATTATAAAATTCTCCAAAAAACAGTAAATGTTTGTTTTCTTTTTCTTTTGTTGCAATGTGATCCAATAATGCCGATTGTAAATTGCATCCGTCAAACCAAAGACTAAAATAATCAAGTACATTTTATGGTTAGTGATATATTTTTAGCGTAAAAAATAAAAAAATAATTAATTTTTTTAATTGGAATTAAACCCGGGAACTACCGCATGTTAGACAAATATACCCTTCTCACTACGAGAAAGTATCTAAATACAAATCATTACGATATAAATTTCATGTGGAATTTAAAACTTGAAACTGGAAATAATATCTGAGGTCTAGAAATTTAGATGTACTTGATTGATACATATTTACTATGTGGTGCATTGTTTAAAAAATTGCGTATTTCTTCATAAGACAAAGTTTTTCATTTATTGGTAGTGCAGGTTTATCATTTCCTGCATTTGTAGCTTTACGTGTTTCACAAAATGGAAAATTCCTTGAAGTTAAAAGCTTATATAACAACCATAATCATGAGACAAATAAGGCCCTTTTTGATTTTTTGCTGCAACAGAGAAAATTGGCTTATGAAAATAGAGAAGAGGCAAAAATGTTACTTTTGTTAGATGCCAATAAAAAAAGAGTTAGAGAAAAACTAGAAAAAGTTACAGGTCTAAAGCTAAGATTAAAAGATCTGTCGAACATTAAACAAAGTGCTAAAAACAAAGCCCCTATTGGCCTAGATTAGTGTGTCGATATTTTGAAAAATAAATATGATTGTAAAGTTAGTATTTTAAAAGACTCTGAAAACAATGTTAAAGGAATGTTTATGCAAACTTCCCAGATGAAAAGTACATATGATGCTTATTCAAAGTTGTTGAGCATTGACGGTACTTATAATGGTTGCGCGTGAAGAGCGCTGGTTACTTTTAAAGAAGTGAATTCAGAGGAGACCGTTTATTTTATATCATAGGTGACAAATATGTTTCTTGAATTAACATTTCATTCAACTTATATCTATAGTAACATAGTAACAGTGGCGGCTCGTCGGCTCGTCCATCAACAAGCAAACTTAACATACTCCCGGCCTTGAAAGTCCTTAACTTTCAATTGAAAATACAGGCAGTGGACATATTCTGGAAATGGCTCTTTTAGTTATACCCTTTGCAGTCTTGACAATGGCAATTCGAGAGATGCAATCGGTTCCAAATTTAAGCTCCGTAACACGACCAAGACACCATTGTAATACAGGCACGTTGTCTTCTTTTATTACGACAAGTTGTCCTACTTGCAAGACTTGGCCATTCTTAGTTGTCCATTTGGAGCGAGTTTGTAATTGACTGATATACTCCTTGCTCCATCTATCCCAAAAATGTTGCTGCATTTTCTTTATGTGCTGATACAAACTCAGCCGATTATCAGGAATTTCCTTCAGGTCGGTCTCTGGGATAGTGTGGAGTGATCTCCCAATTAAAAAATGAGCTGGCGTCAAAGCGGAGAGGTCTGAAGGTTCTGAACAAAGTGGAGATAGAGGACGGGAATTTAATACAGATTCGATTTGTACTAAGAATGCGTAAAATTCTTTATAGGTTAATAAACATTCACCAACTACTCTACGTAAATGATGTTCGACATTGCGCACACCTGCTTCCCATAATCCCCCAAAATTTGGACTATTTACCGGAATAAAATGAAATTTAATGTATAAGTTTGATACTGAACCACAAATAGTTTCAGAATTTTCTAATAAAAAGGTGTAAAATTCAGTGAGTTCCTTATTAGCACCCACAAAATTAGTGCCGTTGTCTGAGTACAAGTCAGAGGGGAATCCACGTCTAGCTATAAATCTAAATTTTCAAGTGCCATAATGACTGAATATCGTATGAACTGCAAATATTAGCAGACTATTTTATTAAATACCGTATAATTCTATAAATTAAGAATTTGAAAACCATATGATTGTAGAAATAATGATTTCTATATTTTAATTGTATAAATGCCCTATCAATGTTTATGTATAACGCATGAATGGATTTTTAACGCATTTCAAGTACAAATCTAATACTGTATGAATTTTCTTTAAATAATCTCACTCAGTCACCCTGGTGCTTCGCCTCTTCTATCTATGCTATTCACTTCTAGATTTTTGGCCTGTTTTAATGCTCACACCTCGATTGACCACTTGGTTGCGCGTGAAGGGCGCTGGTTACTTTTAAAGAAGTGAATTCAGAGGAAACCGTTTATTTTATATCATAGGTGACAAATATGTTTCTTGAATTGACATTAATTCATAATTAACATTTCATTCAACTTATATCTATAGCACAGTTTATAGCTTAAAAGAATCAGTTTACTCACTCAGACCAATTGGATGTTCCAAAATAATATCCACTCCAGGGATACAAATTCAGGATGTGCAGAAGAATGATGTTTGAATATAGGCGGTTGTCATATATTGTATTGGTTATGAATTGATTCTTGTATGCGCCAGGGATACAAATCCGAGTTGCGCAGTGTATAAACTGGAACATTGAGATCAAAAGTGCCGACGCAGAGTGAGCGAACTGATTCTTTAGCTATAAACTATGTCTATAGTAACATAGTAACAGTGGCGGCTCGTCGGCTCGTCCATCAACAAGCAAACTTAACATATATAAACTTATAAAAATACAGGAATACCATTATTTTTGATCATATGTGAGGATGGAAATTACCAAACAGAGATTGTTGCATTTTGTTTACTTTGTAATGAAGATGAAAAAAGTATTCGTTGGTTTTTAGAAGAATTTAAGACTAGAAATGTAAACTGGACTAACACTAAGTGTGTAACACCATAAGTACCTAATTAAAAGAAGACTTGTGAAATAATGTTTTCCAGAGGCTAATACAATTATATACATTTTTCATTCAATGCCCACATTTGGCAGACAAATTTCTGTACAAAACTACTTCAAAACTATTGCTTGTTCTTTGTGTTTATTAAATGAAATATGCCAGTTTGTGTAAAATACCCAAAATGTGGTATTGTTCTAGTTGCAAAGTTATTAATAAAAAATAAGAGATACTTGTTTTATTAATATTACATCCTAAACAGTATACGTATTGGCAAAATTTATTATAAATTCTATCTAAATAAACTACCATATAAAGTGGCATCATTTTAAATTCTCGAAATTACGATAAAAACAAAATCAAAAAACCTGGATTTACTTAATTCCCGGTATCTACTGCGTCATATGGGTGACGTCATCAAAACTACCAGTAAAAAATGTATTACCGGTACCGGGATTCTAGACACACTTTTTTAGTTTTCTGTAACAGCAGCGTTGTCAGACGAGATCTAGGATTACAGTTTGTCTTCTTTCAAACCGCATAAAATATCTTCTTATCTTTTCCAATAATTAGCACCAAACAAATGATACGTTATGAATGAAATGCTTCATCTGTTGTTTCTTTTATCTAAGGTTATGTCGTGAATTTAATACTCAGAGTAGTACAAAGAGGACAGTAAACAATGTTTGTGTCGCCTTGATAATATGGTCGAGAATCGCATCAAAGATTCTAATTAGAGAGAAATAGATTAATATCTCCATCTCTATATTTATTTTTCCAGTTATTTTTAGACAATTATTTTAAGTTTTTACTTAAATTCGTTTAAAAGAGACTTTGGTTTGTAGGGTTTATTTTATACTAGGAAAAACCTTGTGTTCTATGCGGTTTCAAATATAAAAGAGAAAGTTAGGTAACGTTACATTCGTTAATATTATTTCTTACCGAAGAACATGGGCGTCGTTAAATAAAATATAAGTATTAACAAAAATAAAATTGTTATTATATTTAGTGTTCTAAAATACGAATTAGAAGAAACTTATGGTTAGAGGCACTTGAATGGACTGAAATGTTAGAAGTTAAACGAACATATTATATTTGTTAAAGGTACTTTTAGGAGGATGGCTTTGCTGCAACAAATATATTGTTATGTTATTATCTTTATTGTTTTAATTTATTATTATAAATATATTTTGTATTACTTACCTTTTATCCTTTTTTTAATCTTTTTCCGGCTTGTCTTTGTTTCGAGCAAACAGATTCTCTCTCTCAAGGGCGGTTCAGTTAAATCTGACAGCTTAATTGTAAATTAATTTTTTTTTATTGTATACCTTGATTGAAATATTGTCCTTTTTTTAATTTAATTTTACCATACCATATTTTAAATTTAAATAAATTTGTTTAATTTTATACATAAATTAACCATTTATTAACCATTAATACCTTTTTTTTAAAAAAGTTTAACAAAAATTATTTAATGAACACTTAACAAGAAATACCTACTTAATTATCTAAAATTATATCTCGTTGAACTCATTTTAAATATTTAAATTGTTATTTAAATTTACTGTTAAAATAATTTCAACTTCTTAGTTGAGTTAGGCCTAATCCCTTTAGAAAAAACTTAGGACTATCTATTTTATAAATTACAATTTTAATTTTTTATAATTATTGTCTAATTCATTAGATAATAACTTTATCCTACACGTTGCGCCATCTATTAACATTCTTAGTAACTCTTAATGTATAATGAATAGTTTTCTGTTCTCTTCAAAAATT